GGGACGGAGAAGAAATCGAAGCGCGAATTTTTTATTTTTTTTTCGTTCTCTTCATGTCTAAGTACAGCGGTCAAGGCGTCAGTGCAAAGCAGACTATGATTGGGAAGGAAGAAGCGGAAGAGGAGGAGAAGTGAGGAGAGGGTGATGGGGAAGATAGAAGCGGAAGAGGAGGAGAAGTGAGGAGAGGGTGATGGGAAGGAAGAAGCAGAAGAGGAGGAGAAAAGAGGGGAAGGTGATGGGAAGGGAGGGAAGGGCAAGAGCGGTATGGAGTCGGGGACGGCGGCAATGACAATTTCCTCAAATGTACTTGAGAGGCGCTGAGCGCGACTGAAGAACCAGGTCTGGTGCGTGAAGAAAGCCATTTTTTTAAATCATTTTTTTGGGGAAAGGAAGGACTCGCTCGTTCACTGTCAGCATCGAGCCGAGGTGGTTTCTTTACAGTATTTTACCACTTCTTTAGGGGAAAAAGGCACCACACATTGTCCTTGACGTCGTTTGGGAGACAATGCGTGAAGATATCATCTTTGAAGTGTTATGTCTTTTCTTCCAACGTCCCAAAAATGCTTCTTTATTTGCTCTTTTTCACATTCAATTTGAAAATGAAGTTGTGTGCTATCTTTATTACAAGCAGTGCGTCAAGTCAAATCCATGTATGTATCTTTCAAGCGGTTGTCCTCGATTTCCTGCAGGAGTAACTAAACCCCACACAGATAAAAGTCGACTATATAATGCCCAGTGCGCATTTTTAGGGGCCGCATGGCCGGAAATGCTAATGTTATGGAAACGTCGATGCAATCGACGCCTGAAAATGCTCCTCGTTCTGATGTCCACGAGACACAAATAAAGGACATGTGCAAGCTGAACGGAGAGAAGTCTCGCGGGACTGTGAAAGCACAAAAAAAGGTACGACTAGGTTGGGTGCTGTCTTGGATTTTCTTTCTTCGTGGAAAACGAGCAATTGAAAGGTTTAGGGTTTCCTGCATGCACAAGGATGGGATCTCACTCCTTCTTTGTCCTGTTACAAAAACATTTACCGTCCAACTTGTCACTATTCCTGTCCTCTACGCCCCACCCGCCATGCCCACTGTATGTCCATCCGCTCATAATATTCTCGTCGCCGCGTCGCCGTTGCCTTTTTGGGTCTATTCTGTCATACTTCTGTGGTCATTTGCATCGCCTACGCGCACGTTGATACGCAAATCCTCCGCCCGTACCCTTCGCTTTCCTTTTTGACTTGCCCGATCTACGCGACGGATCCCGTGGGAACGTCTATGACATCTGGGGGTATGGACAATACTTTGTGTTGACGTCTTTTCGGGGTTGCAACGGGTTTTGGAGTGAGGTTTAAAGGGTTTAAAATGTTGTCGGCGCTTGTGCCAGAGCCATGTTGAGGCTATCAACCGTCAAACCAGGATTGGTGCCTGCCTCGACCCCAAAAGGCCTTCTTTCTTTCCGGAAAAATAAAAGGGTTGTGAATTTGATGATTGCAAGCGCTGTGAATCTCTTACACCTGTTGTTTCATTGCTTTTGGAGGCCCGAATTGCGAAAAAAGACAGGGAGTCAGCTCGGGAGCCGCCCTTCCCTTCCTGAGAACCTAGTTTCCTATATCTGATGGCTTTCAACTGCACACAACTCCCCCGCACAGATCCTGTCCTTCTCCACACTCTCATACATAATGAAATTCGCCGCTTTCGCTTGCTTAGCTTCCCTGATCGGCGCCTCTGCCTTCGTCGCCCCTGCCCCGAAACCAACTCGCAGCCGCGGCATGGCCCGTATGGCCGTAGATGACCTTATCGGTAGGAACGAATGCGACGAGGAGGAAAGGAAGGAGGAGAAGAAGGAAAGCGAGACATAGGGGGCGTTGCTTTCGGGGAGGGGGAAGGGAAAAAAGGTGCCCATGGACCGCCGAAATGCAAAAAGGATGTCGTGCGTAGAGGCATCTACCTAGTGTATGAGTCCTCTCTGTAACGGGGTTGGAAACAGAAGGGATCGCCAAGCGCGTGACACTATCTTCCTTACAGGATAGAGCAATGCAATCTGCCCTGTCTGGCAAGAGCTCACGGCATGTATGCCCCTTCTTTCCCTCCCTCCCTCCCTCCCTCCCTCCCTCC